GCCGAGTTCACGAAGTGAATTGGCTTGTTTTACAACGTCGTTGCCAAACGACGAAAACCCAATCCCGATGGCAAACACCGAGGGGGGGGGTTGGTGGGGGGGGGAAACAATTCAAAAAGGCGGGTGGAGAACGCAAAAAAAATATGCATATTTCGAAACGAAGTCACGTCCCCAGCGACCTGGGTGCAGAACTATTTTGTCATCACTATTTGTTGTACTTGTACGTTCCTACGACGTCTTTCTATGTTCGGCCCAACCTTCCGACATTGTGCAAGCTGTGCTGTCTGGAGGTGTAATAAGAGCAGCCAAGACGTGAGCAGCAGAATAAAAGAGCAGTTGCAGCACAGCGGGATAAACGTGGGAGTCGATGACAGCAGTAGAAAAGAGAAAACCTTCAAACAGGCGGCGGGTGTTGTTCTGAGTTGAAGAGAGGGGAAATGGGACCAACCGACACACAGCTAACCTCACACCATCAATCAGCAGCGCTTCGAGCCACAACGTCGTCCCACCTCTTAGATTGCTACAGTACTTGAATGGCCTACCTTCTTTTCTAAGCGGTTCGGACCTTTCTCGCCGGCGGGCGTGTTTGTTGTGTTCCTCCAGCGTGCGCAACCACGAGTACCGTATATGACACAAGATAACACACCCCCTGGACCAATTTTCAAAGCTCGATTACTCCACGACGAAGAGGATGCATAAACGAAACGATACATTATTGGAAAGCTGTCGACGAGACGGTTCCAACGCGGCCGTTTTCGGCGCCGTGACTCTTTCTGTTGTTGAGAAATCGAGACTTGAAAATCGATCCAGGGGGTGTGTTATCTTAGGTCAATTGCGGTACAGACGTGCACGTTTACGAAACTGCTGTAGTACGGAGACCTGTGACCAAGCGAAGTGTTCTTCGCTGTTCTACCCGCTACTGCTGTGCTAGAAAGAAAGAGAAGAATGTGACAGCTGCTTCAAAGAACATGAAAGACTCTCCAAGTCGAACAACCGCCTTGAAACAGAAGGGAAGAAAACACCCGGAGCAGCCTCCACTGCGAACGTCCAGCCAACACAAATGTACAACCGTACATATTGCGGTGTTTTGTGCTGCTTGTTTCCATTCGCAGGTGGGTTAACACCGGTGCCGTAGTCGACCACCCCAAGCTCAAAGGACTCCGCCACGTTCGCATCCGCGAACCCCCCGCCGTGAGCCGGTTTTGGCGGTGGCATACCGAAGGGGAGGGCCACATATGCACCGCAGAAGGTACAGACATGGTTTTGGTTGCGACCGCATCACGGTCTCCCCCTGTTTGGTCGTGGCGAACGCTAGCTGAGGTCGGGCTTTGGGCACGAAGACTTACGTGAGGTCGGGACGCTCTTGGTCTCTTGTGTGTCGCTGCCACACTGTTTGACTGACGGTTCTTCTGGGGGAAGTGTTGGTCGCAAATTGTTTTGAAGTTTTGCCCACCGAACTTGCTCGGGTAAGATGTGCCAAGCACGCGGTTCACTCCCCCCCCCCGCCTACCCCGTCTTCGGGGCAAGTACTCTTGTGGAGGCCTTTGCTCATGAACAGAGGTGCTTCGGGAACCACTGGCCGACTGGCCGATGAAAAATGGCCGACGACAACCATGAAGAATGAGCTGGCAATTGTAACCTTCATCGTTTGGCACTACCTTAGTTTACCACAACGTCGTGTACAAACACTTGTATACCGGCACCAGTACCGTTCTTGCACTCCAGCCAAACTACCGCCACGTCGTGTACATACAAACCCTTGCATACCGACACCTGAACCGTTTTTGGACTAGCTTTCACCGCCGCCACGTCGTGCAAAAACCCAATCACGTCGCCACCAAGCTTATAGAACAAGAGAGGAAAATCTTGAAAGCACCGGCAATCTGTAATTTTTTTTGATACGCACCAGCGTGTACTCTCCGCGGGGATTTTGCTTCCCGCTTCCTGACGAAGGCGCCAGAACGAACGACAGAGTACCTTGCGTACTATTGACCGGAGAGCCATACGCCCTCAGCGGACACAAAGGGCGCGGCCTCCCCAGCGTGTAAAGGGGTAGGCCGTACCACCAGGCCCCCATGAAGAGAGTAGGAGGGAACATATGCGTTAAGTTCGGGAGTAGAGAGGCCCCCCGGATGGGACAACGAGGGGGTACCAACATCATAGCTATCATAGCCCCCAGCAAAGCCCGGTCTACGGTACGCCTCAGTTGCACCCGGGCCTGCCCACCCCCTCGTTGGCGCGTGCGTTCTTGATGCATCGTGCTTGTTGACGGCTCGTCGTCTCTTTTTTTTTTTTTTCGCTCAAAGCGACGTACCTCGTGCTGAAGGACTTCGAGGAGGCGACGGGATTGGTTACTCGGGGTGGTAGGCTCGAGGACATCCTCTTCCTCTTTGCCCTCATGGGCTCGAGGATCAAGGTGCGGCCGGCGTATTAGTCCGAACGTCACTCGTTGTTAGCTTTGTTCGGCCCGGCCGGATGTTGTAGTTCCTGTTCGGAGATCAGTCTTCGGAGATCAGTCGTGTGCAACCTTCAACACAAACCACTACCATTCTCTTACCCGACAAAAGTCTCACGTCCTATTTCCTCGGCTCGCCCTCTGTTGTTCTCTGTTTTGTGTTCCAAAGTATTGTAGCCTTTGTCTTGTTCTCTATACGATGATGCGATTCTTGTTGTGTGTGGGTAGCGATCGTGGCGTGAGTCTTGATGGGTCACCATTTAGTCACTCATTTCTGTACGCTTCGTCCGTGTCGTTCTCGTGTTCAACCCCCATTGGGGCACACAGAAAAAAATCGGTGTTGTGAAAGACAGAAAACAACCCTCCAGCTGATTGGGTGATGCGGACAGTTCCAGACCTAGGTTCAGGGGGAACGGGGCGCTTAAGTCACAACACTTGCTTTCCTCTCTTGGGGTTTCCTGTTAGGCTGCCTACGAGTCCGATCCATCCAAGTTGGGGAAGAGCTACCCTTCATCGGAAGAGGCCAAGCAGGTAAGGGGCGAGGGTACACGTCCGGAGGTAACCACGTAAGTAGTTGCGTCGGTCGACCGCTAGGTGCGTGACAAGCTGCCCGAAAGCAACCAATGTGCGACAGCTGCCCTGCTGTCGGTGGCGGTGGTGTTTGATATTGGTGTGCAACACGGCTTAGTGGAGCAAGCGAGCAATGATGTCTGTTGTTCGATGTTTGTGTGCAACGAACTTAGACGAGTACGCAGGCTATGATGCTGTTGGTGTTGTTTGGTATTGGTGTGCAACAAGGCTAGAGCACCCGAGCATTCGCAAAACCCACTGCGTCCGCTCTTTCAAGGCATCGTTCCGTTTCGAAGACAAACTAATCAATGTAAGCTCTTTTGTCTCCCCCCCCAGCGAATCACGACTATGAGTACACCCCCCCCCCCC